GGGAAAGAGTTCGTGGCAGTGACCTAATAAAAGCAATTCTTATAATGGTATATTTCCCTTCTTTGAAATTAGCAAGTAACCTGCAAAGTGATATAATTTGATACTATGTGAATATCCTGTTCCCCAACAACTTATTACATATTATTTTAACATTCCTTCATAATCATTGTCTCAAACATTTCACTGGGAGTTAAAGAATGAAGATTTCCTATTTTTATCATTTTTCTCTATTTTTTAATTTGAATCCAATTAGCCAACATCATTAGTTTCAGATGTTGTGTTCAGTAATTTATCAGTTGTGTATAACACCCAGTGCTCATCACATCGTGTGCCCTCCTTAATGCCCATCACCCAGTTACCCCACTTCCCCCACTCACCTCCCCTCCAGCAACCCTCAAGTTTGTTTCCTATAGTTCAGAGCCTCTCATGGTTTGTCTCCCTCTCTGATAACTTCGCATTCAGTTTTCCCTCCTTTCCCCTATGATCCTCTGTGCTGTTTCTTATATTCCACATGTGAGTGAAACCATATGATAATTGTCTTTCTCTGAGTGACTTATTTCACTCAGCATGATACCCTTCAGTTCCATCTACATTGATGCAAATGGTAAGTAAGTATTCATCCTTTCTGATGGCTGAGTAATATTCTATTGTATATATGGACGACATCTTCTTTATCCATTCGTCTGTTGAAGGACATCTCAGCTCTTTCCACGGTTTGGCTATTTTGAACATTGCTGCTATGAACATTGGGGTGCGTGTGCCCCCTTTGAATCACTACATCTGTATCTTTGGGGTAAATACCCAGTAGTGCAATTGCTGCGTTGTAGGGTGGTTCTATTTTTAGCTTCTTGAGGAACCTCCATACTGTTTTCCAGAGTGGCTGCACCAGCTTGCATTCCCACCAACAGTGTAAAAGGTTCCCCTTTCTCCGCATCCTTGCTAACATTTGTTATTTCCTGTCTTGTTAATTTTAGCCATTCTGACTGGTGTAAGGTGGTATCTCATTATGGTTTTGATTTGTATTTCTCTGATGACAAGTGACATGGAGCATTTTTTCATGCGTCTGGTGGCCATTTGTATGTCTTCTTTGGAGAAATGTCTGTTCATGTCTTCTGCCCGTTTCTTGACTGGATTATTTGTTTTTTGGGTGTTGAGTTCTTTATAGATCTTGGATACTATCCCTTTATTTGATATGTCATTTGCAAATATCTTCTCCGATTCTGTAGGTTGCCTTTTAGTTTTGTTGACTGCTTCCTTTGCTGTGCAGAAGTTTTTTTTATATTTTAAAAAAAGGCTTTATTTATTTATTTGATGCAGAGAGAGAGCGAGAGAGAAAGACAGCACACAAGCTCAGGGAGAGGCAGACTCCCCGCTGAGGTTTAAGGTGCCTATAAAGCTTTTGATCTTATGCACTGTAAAGTTTACTTTCCTGAGTTGATAATATTAAAGGTTTACTCATAAAAACCATACGCTTCGATCAGAAGTGGCAGTTGAATCACTAAAAAAAAAGTCTTCTGTAAACCAGAGTGCTACTCTAACTGATCTTCCACTTTGGGTTATTTATGGACAATGTATTCTTCATGCTGATTATGATGTCTTTTTTTTTTTAAAAAGATTTTTTTATTATTGTTTGTTTATTTGACAGAGAGAGAGAGAGAGAGCGAGAAAGGGAACACAAGCAGGGGGAGTGGGAGAGGGAGAAGCAGGCTTCCCGCCGAGCAGGGAGCCTGATGCGAGGCTCCATCCCAGGACCCCGGGATCATGACCCGAGCCAAAGGCAGACACTTAACGACTGAGCCACTCAGGCGCCCCTAATTATGATGTCTTAATAAATATTCACCTACTCCTAGTAACTCAATGTAAGAACTTCAGGGTCATAATGAATCCTCATGTATCCATCAGATACATGTTATCAGATATCAAGTTCTGTACATTCTATCTCCGAAAACAGACCAAAAACACCTCACAATGTTAATTATCAAGAATCTGTGGAAGAGGGGAAAAATAGTCACTAGATTACTAAAGACATTGTTTGCAAGTGATAGAAAACTAACTCCTATCAGCTTAAGGAGAAGCAGAATCTATTGGTGGATGTAATTGCAAAGTCCAAAGTTCTTGCAAGTTTCAAGCAGGGCTAGATGAAGGGACCCAAATAATGACATCAGGACCTGTACTTCTTATCTATTTTGTTTGTTTCTGTTTGACTTCATTCTACAGACTGCCTCTCTCCATTTAGCAGACAAGATGGCCACCAGTAGCTCCAAACTCACATCCTCCTAGACTAGCAATCATTGGGCACAGAGAACTTCTTTCTACCAGTGTTTTATCTTTAAACTTTTAAAAAAGATTTATTCCCTTTTTGGTGTAGGCACTGTGGGATGATACAGAGTACAGAGATTTGGAATGAGGCTTTGTAATTTTTTAAGTAAACCCTACCCCTGACATGGGGCTCAAATTCAGGACCCCAAGATCAAGAGTCACATGCTTTATTGCCTGAGCCAGCCAAGTGCCTCTTCCAGTGTTTACTTATTAATTCCAGGCAAGGCTGTGATCATTCCTTCTTGAATCCATGCCCAAATCTGAACCAACCACTCTGGATGGGAGAGTGGGGTGTTCTGGTCATCCTAGGTCATAAACCCAATGCATTCCATGTGAGAATCCAGTGATGTACATTATCATCAGGACTAAATGGAGGAGGGGAGGAGTTTCCCAAACAGATCCAAAGAATGGAAATGGGAAAGAATGTCCTTGATCAAAAAATCTGGTTACTATGATCCACTAGTTGTTCCATCAGCTGAGTTGAACAAAGGATTGGAGAAGGAACACTTAAGACAAAAGGATAAATTATAAGCTGTTTTAAAAGTTAAGGTGAGGGGACGCCTGGGTGGCTCAGTCAGTTAAGCGTCTGCCTTTGGCTCAGGTCATGATCCCAGGGTCCTGGGACTGAGCCCCACATTGAGCCCCACATCAAGCCCCACATCGGGCTCCCTGTTCAGCGGGAAGCCTGCTTCTCCCTCTCCCACTCCCCCTGCTTGTGTTCCCTCTCTCGCTGTGTCTCTCTCTGTCAAATTAAAAAAAAAATCTTAAAAAAAAAAAAAATAAAGCCAGATCTTGCCTTCAGTACTATGGAGTGGTAACTATTGGACTCAGAAATTCTACATTCCTTATTGGCATCCATGTCATACTAATTTATAAATGGACTCACCAATGGTTCCTATTCTACCTCATTTACCCCCAAATTCAAATATAGAATAAAAAACTTGTCAATTGGCCCCTTATAAAAATGACTATTGCCATATGAAGATAAACACAAGGCACTATTTCCAAACGACATTTATCCAGAACATAGATGATTGAGCAGAGAGTGAAGGATATAAATATCAATATCTTTAGCTTCCACATAGTGGACATGGTCTAAGCCCAGTGCATTGATGAGATTACGGGTCATGAGATGTTTAACATATATTACCTGATTTAATCTGCACATTTGTACAAGATGAACATTATTTTGTGATTCTGTGAAGGTTGATAGATTTCTCAAGGTCATACAACTGGTAATGTTGGATCTGGGATTTCAGTCACATCTGTGTGAATCCAAAGGTTATTCTCTTAATTCATATACAGCATCATGTATATTTCCTAACAAAGAAAGCAACTCAGCTTGGGTGGGGGATAAAATATAGGATTGTGAGTTTTCTCTAGCAGAAAAATTATCGCTAATGATTTCCCCCAAGATTGCTTCATTTCCAATGTTGCCAAGCTCTAAAGCAGCAATATGATGGCAGGACTTTATTATCAATGTTGGATCCAAAAGAGCCCAAGGAGGAGAAGGGACAATTACTTGCTCTTTGTCTCTAATGAGGCTCTTAGGGAATATGGCCCTAGTGGCCATGGAGGCTCTTGTAAAGAGCTGGTCCTCTGATTCCCCCCAACATCCTTCCTGCACCAAGGGTTGAGTCTGTGTACTCCAACCCTTATTCAAGCAAACTTAGCCTGAAAACACCAGTGACAAGTCCCTTTTCCTCAAACCAATGATCTCTGGCCAGGTCTGGAAAAGTGAAGCAAGCTTGGGACTTCTGGTGACTGTGATGACTGCCATTCTTTCTGGGGTAAGAGTCAGATCAGTGGGACTTTATCAATAACTGATTGTTAAGGTGCAAACCTTTTGTGGGGACACTCCTCACTGCATCTCTCTTTAAAGTGGAGCCAAAGAAACAGTTCTGAGATCATCAACCATCCCTTGCAATCACCTAGTCATGACCATATATGTCTTGTATGTTTATGAGACCTGAACTGTGGAGAGAACGAATTGGCCAAGTTTCTGTCCATAATTCTGGGTCATTTCCATTTCCATTTTACAGGTTAGATTGAGGGAGCTCAGTGGACATAACCAAGAAGGGCTGGCTCAGAGCTCTGTAAAGTGCTCAGAAAATGTGAGCCCAGGAACAGCAGCAGCAATATTATCATATTGATTGATCACTGATATCATCCTCAGAGCAAACATGTTAGGAATGTGTAATATGTCCAGATTAGAGATAATGGAACTGAAAAATGTCCTCTAAGGCAACACCACTAATGATAATAATGACATCAATATCCATATATTAGGATATATGCTTACTATATGTCAGTCTCTATGGTAACCATTTACCTATGTTCTCCAGTACTTATTATAAATATTAACATGTCTATTAATATTCTTAAATCTATAGTGATTTGTGACACTATTTGAAGATACAAGGTCATGATAGGAAGTTCAAACATAAAAAGAATTTATGGATACAACCATTGTCACAGTCTTTCAATGTCCTTCCAGAGGCACTGCCCTCACGGAAAAGACCATCACTGGCAAACTCACCAGGAGCAAGGTTCTAATGCCTCACTGACGTCACACAGCCTTTCTCCTTGCAGTCTTCTTAGTTGCTCCACTTTAACCATCATTTTCCAGGCTTTTGAATTTTTCCTGCTTTATCTGCCTCTGGACTCAGGCTTCCAGCCCCATGAGAGGGACAAACCAGTCCCGTGTCTCTGAGTTCCTCCTCCTTGGGCTCTCCAGGCAGCCCCAGCAGCAGCAGCCCCTCTTTGTACTCTTCCTGAGCATGTACCTGACCACGGTCCTGGGAAACCTGCTCATCCTCCTGGCCATTGGCGTGGACTCCCGCCTGCACATCCCCATGTACTTCTTCCTCAGCAACCTGTCCTTTGTGGACATCTGCTTCTCCTCCGCCACTGTCCCCAAGATGTGGCCAACTATATACTCGGGACTCAGACCATCTTCTTTTCTGGGTGTCTCACACAGATGTATTTTCTCTTTGAGCTTGCCGACATGGACAGTTTCCTCCTGGCTGTGATGGCCTATGACTGCTTTGTTGCCATATGCCACCCCTTACACTCCTCAACAAAGATGACCCACCAGCTCTGTGCCCTGCTGGTTGCTGGGTCATGGGTCTTTGCCAACCTGAATGTTCTACTGCATACCCTGCTGATGGCTCGACTCTCGTTCTGTGCAGACAATGCCATCCCCCACTTCTTCTGTGATGTGACGCCCCTCCTGAAACTCTCCTGCTCCAACACACACCTCAATGAGGTGATGATTCTGACTGAGGGTTCTCTGATCATGATCACTCCATTTATTTGCATCCTGGCTTCATATATCCATATTACCTGTGCTGTCCTGAGAGTCCCATCCACAAAGGGAAAATGGAAAGCCGCCTCCACCTGTGGCTCCTACCTGGCCGTGGTTTCTCTCTTCTATGGCACCATCGTTGCTGTGCATTTCAACCCTTTATCCTCCCACTCTTCTGAGAAGGACACCACAGCTACTGTGGTGTACACAGTGGTGACCCCCATGCCGAACCCCTTCATCTACAGCCTGAGGAACAGGGACTTGAAAGAGGCCCTAGAAAAAGTGATGGGCAAGAAGACATGCTCTTAGTGATGAAAGTATAATGGGTCTATTTTCCCAGGCATATTAATCTTTGGCAACTCACTGAAATATAGCTATCAAAGTGTTTGCAAGGAACTTAGAATAAATACTCTCAATAGACAGTTATGAATGAACTTAGTCTTAAGTACAACCCTGCTCCTTTAAATAGGTAATTTTATTTGTTTCTAATTACTGTATTTAAACCTTCTTTGCATAAAGGTCAGGTTTTTCCTTTCTAGGTGATCGCTCTAAAAATTTACACGTAACCAAATTTGTTTCCACTTCCTTTTTGGAAATGCTCTCAGAATTTAAGGCAGTGTTTTTCAACACTGGTTATATGACAGTATCACCTGGGGAGTTTTGACACCATATATATGGTTGCTGGACCAAGCTTTGACCAATTAAAGCAGAATTTCTGGAGTGGGATCCAGGCATTGGCATTTTTTCCCCTTTAAGTTCCCCAGGGGGTTCAAATGTAATTTCTGAGTTGACAATCATGCTGCTTTGGATGTACTTTATGATTGCTCATTATGAAGAGTGAGCCCAGAAACCCTAAGAGGAAATCTGATGTCTAATGAGAGTAATAACAATAGAGGTGAAAAAATCACTGAAGTTTTCTGTGGGCTCAAGTGTTCCTGTGCTGAGAGGGCTGGTCTTTTGGCTGAACTCACATTCCTGAGCCTCACTTGGGATCCAAAGAATACTTCATAATTTTTAGTGCTCCTATTAGTCTGTTTAGGCTGCTCTAACAAAAACACCATATACTTTGTAGCTGAGACAACAAACATTTATTTCTCACAGTTCTGGAGGCTGGAAGTCCAAGATCAAGGTGCCAGCAGATTCAGTGTCAGATGAGAGCCTGCTTCTTGGTTCTTCTTTCTGTGTCCTCAGATGGTAGAAGGGGTGAGGAAGCTCTCTGGGGTCTATTTTATGAAGACACTAATCCCTTCATGAGGGGTCCCCCACTCATGACTTAGTCACCTCCCAAAGGTCCCACCTCCAAATACTACACATTGGGGGTTAGGTTTCAACATTTTAATATTTTGGAGGGGCACGCAAATAGTCTGTGGCAGTGTCTCATCCTCCAATTTGAGTGCCTTGCTTTATGGGGGTATATTTAGCAATAAGGTGTTCCTTTGATTTTGAAGAAACAGATTAGCATTTGCTTTTTCATCTGTTCAGGATGCCTAGTCTTTCTCCCTGAGGGGAAAACCTTCCCTGAACCTTCAAGATCCCAGTCAATATTTCCCCTATGAAGCCTTTGGTGATTCCTCTGGGCTGAGATCCTCATTCTCTCTCCTGAGTTCCCACAGAAAACTCCTCTTGAAGTTATTATATATGTGATACTGCATAGTCTGTTTATTGCTGCTTCCTCTCCCCCTTCCTCTTTGCCCTTAGGCACTCTAAAGACTTTGAGATGCTCAGGGATCACACGCATAAACTGTTCACCTTGGACACCCATAAAAAGCTTGGCTCCTGACACTTACTGCACTTGCAAACTATTAATACTGAATAGGAGAACGATAGCATGTGCTTCTGGAGAACCCAATCTGAGAGGTCTTTTAGCTTTTTAAAGAAATATTTTGTTTATCTGAGAGAGACAGTGATCGTGAGAGTGGGGCAGGGTGGGGGAAGGAGAGGGAGAAGCAGACTCCCCGCTGAGCAGGGAGCTCAACTCAGGGACCATGACCTGAGCTGAAGGCAGATACTTAACCTACTGAGCCACCAGGTGCCCCATGAGGTCTTTTAATAATAGTAACAATGACAGAATGACAACAAAGGAAAAGAACAGATATACCATGTTGCGTAATCAGAGGTTAAGCATTACTGTCTAGTGCATTTGCCGCATTAGTGACTATTTATTGAAACATTTAGTATTTTATTTGGAGATATAATTTTACCAAATACAGTGTTGCTATTCAGTCATTTTGCTTGATTTTTCTGCACATGTGTCATTGTTTACCACTAGTTTCTTTTTAAAACTCACTACTCTATTAGCTTCTTAAACACTGATCTCTGCTTGTTTCTGTGTCTCTTTGCTCCATTTGTTTTGCCACCTCCTCCTCTTCTACCATTTTATAAACGTTTGTTTTCCTCTTGGGTTTTATGCTTGGACTTCTTTTCAGTCTATACTCTCTTCATGGGCAATCACATCTACTTCGTGTCTTTAACCACATCTATGTTCTTGTGACTTCTGAATCCATATCTGTCAGACCTCCCCTTGACCTATATATCCATTCTGCCCAGCCTGGATGTCTTCACACCCAACACTTTCTAATGGAACCCATGGAACCCACACTGCCACCATCATACCATGATCCATCCCAACAAGCACAGATGCATTTCTCCCCTGCCTGCACTGCCTATCTCAATCAGTGGTTCTCAATTAATGTTGCAATCCTCCTACACTTGCCCTAATCCCACACATCCAATCAGTCACTAAGTGCTCTGCCTTCTACTTCCCTATCATTCCTCAATATTATTCCCTACTGTAGTGAGTGGGATTGTGTCCCCCAGCCTGCAAAAGATGTTCAAGTCCTAACTCCTAGTACCTACTAATATGACCTTATTTGGAAATAGGGTGTTTACAGATGTAATCAAGTTAAGATTTGGTCATACAGGATCAGGGTAGGTCCGATTTCAATGACTGCTGTCCTCCTAAGAAGAGGGAAATTTGGACATAGCTACTCATAGAGAGAACACCATGTGAAGACACAAAGACACAAAGATCCTCAGGAACAATGCCACGTGAAGATTGGCAGAGACTGGAATGGTACATCTACAAGCATCACTAAGGATTGTTGGCATCAAGCAATCCTAAGTGAGGACCCTAAGGGTTGATGGCAGCCACTGAAGCTAGAAAAGGGGCATGAAACGGATTCTCTCGCAGAGCCTCCAGAATGAACCATCCTTGCCAACACCTTAATTTTGGACATCTAGTCTCCAAAAGTGTAAGAGAATAAATTTCTGTTGTTTAAAGTCATCTAATTTATGGTAGTTTGTTATGGCAGGCCTAGGAAACCAATACACCACCCCAATAGGACTGCTTGTCTTATCTTTTCCATATGACCTGTACAACCTTCAATTGCAGGTGTTTGCATTCTTTTGGGGTCTTCCACCTCGAACATATAAGGCCCTTGAAATAAGAAATGAGTCATTATTCACATTTGTACACAGAGTATTAGTTCCTGGGTCTGGCTCATATAAAGTGCATGTTTCATGAATAATGAGAAGCAGAAGTCAGTATGCTGAGGAAATTATTTTGTTTTTCTCCCTGTCCTCCCTACCCCAACTAGGCTGTACTCCATGAGTGCAGGGACCAGGTTTTTCAATAGTATCTGCAGTATAGTGGTTGCTCAACAATTCTCTCATGTGAATAAATGATTATAGGATTGATTCAATATGGGGAAGTTACTATAGAGGATGATGAAGTTTCCTAAAGGAGTTGATGGGCTTGGTTCAGCTCTCTGCCACCTCACTTCAGATCTTCCAAGCCATAATGAAGCTTGATGTGCGTGTTTTAATGTATTTTTTAATGGTTATTTTTTTTACATTTAAAGTGGTTGCAAAAATATTGAAAAATTTAAAAGTAGGTATATTTAAACTCACATTATTTTATTTTATTTATTTTTAAAGTAGGCTCCATGCCTAACTCAAGTGGGGCTCAAACTCAAGGACTCTGAGATGAAGTGTCACATGCTCCACCAACTGAGCCACCCAGGAACCCCTAAACTCACACTATTTTAACTGCAATATTTTAGTTACACCCAAATCAGAATCTTTTATAATTTTACTTTTCCAAGGACAGAGTCCCTCCTTGACCAAACTCTAATCAGGCTCCTCCCTCTTCTTGACTATGTTCAACTTTGGCCTAAAAGACTTGAACAACTAACACCCAACAGCTCAAGGCCACATCCCTAGGATGACCCTAGGTGCCCTTACTGCCTGCCTCAGGAAAATCAAGGCTGCCAAAAGAATGTACCATTTGTTCCAGAAACACCTGAAGATAGGGATCCTGTCTGTATGGTAGGGTAGGAGCCTGGCTTCCATAAGGGTCAATTAGCAAACCCAGATGGGTTTCACAAGGACCAACCCTCACATCCAGCTTTTTGTAATTTTTCACTTCCCCGACTGCTGAAGCTTCTGCTATTTCCTCTCCCTACTTCCTCATTCTCCCTTTAAAATGCCCAATCACCTCTGCAGAAAATGGAATGGAGCTCAGCTCCTTCCCCTACCGTCAGTAGTTACTGAATAAAATCAGTTTTCACTGCTTTAACTAATGTCTGGCTGTGTTTATCTTTGACACTAGCTTAGTATTAGTAAACTCATCAGTAATGTTTTGAGAATCTTCTTTGCCTGTTTCAACTGAGAGAACTGCCGTATTTCACAATTTCTCTTGACTAAGCGAAGGTGTTAAATAATATTAACTTTCAGCTTATCCTGTCTTTAAAATTCTTATATTTTGTTAAAGGATTTTTTGCATTAACTTTGTTTTTAAAAAAAACACTGCACTGAAATATTACTTACTTTGATTACTAAGCCTTTTGAGCCCCTTAATTTCGCGCTTTTCGCACATTTCGCACGTCCACCCCGCTCACCGGGTGTCTGGAGTCGCCCGCGAGCCGGAGGACCGCCCTAAAACCGTTGGCCACACGCAGGCGCGGCGCGGGAGAGGCGGATCAGTTGGAATCACTTCCCGGAAGCGCTGTACCCGCCCTCAAACGGAACCAATCAGAGGCTGCGTCGGCCCCGCCCCGCAATTAGATAGGAGGAGCGGAGTCTCCGCTCTGCAAGGTCTCTGCGAGGAGGTGCGGCTTAGTCTTTCTCCGAAGTGCGGCGGGCTGGTGACTCCAGCATGGCATGGGGGTCTACGTTGCCGTAAGTGGCTCTGACTATTTTCCCCCGAAATGGCGTAAAGGGGCACTCTGGGGTTGGTGCCCACAAAACCTGGGCAACTGGCGGGTCCCATGAGTCTTCCGCTGCACCTGCTCCGGTCCTTTAGGGCTCTG